CCTTCTTCCCCTCTTGTTCCAAGTCTGCATTAAGGACAACATCCACTGCTGGTCTAAGTGACTCTATTAGCTCCAACAGAACAGCTCAGCACCATGAGCCTCGTGGATATCAATAGATAACTCCCAATTCTGCTATCACCCCTGAAAACTGATGGTAGATGCTACATATTGGAGTTGGTATATCTTTTTAAATTTTAAAAATTACAGATAAAAGTACTTTAAGATGAGGTTACAAGACAAGCTTTCAAAAACTAGTGCACAGAAGAATTATGGGTACATGAGGAACTCTACTTTGGTCCACCTCCATACTTGTACTACTCTGTGCTACAATATAGTGTAAATGGATTAGCATGAAAAGTATTGGACAGAAAACATAGGCAAATTGGTTAAATTTTAAGGATTACAAAGCATTAGGAGGCAGACAACAGTATTCGAACTACACATCTCACTAATATGAAGAAAAATACAAAGCAATTATTACAGAGGAGTTTGATAAAGCTACATCAAAACCCAAACATACATACTCTGTAGACCACTCTGCTGAGTATTGTATACTGTAGCATCAAAACTAAGACACACGGACATATAGCTGGGTGACAGGTTTTCACTCTAAGGATAGTTGCTGTTACACAGCAGGAAAGCAAATTCTCAGTAATACCATTTCCAGTCAAAATCAAAAAAGAAAAATACAGGTTGCTGCACTGGTCTAGGTTCATCACCACAGTTTCTTACCTGGAAAAAGTAAATTCACAGCTGCCAGTCTCCTGGAACCAATGTTCTGCTTTAAACACAAAACATTAACCTCTGTTCTCATTTCCCACTCCAGGAGATAACGTGAGATTTGCCAGCATACCTAAATCTATTTGTTTTTTTCTAGTTTGTCAGCTATATTCAGTGAAACACAACAGAATAGATGGTTGGAAAAAAAGAAAAAAAATCTTCCAGGAGTATGAAGTTTTATTGTTGGTCAGGTTTTAGTTCATCCTACATTAGAAAAAATATTGTAATAGGGATTGCAATAATTAAGACATCAGCACTGTAATATTTCTTCTCATAAATACACTTTGAGAGATTCACCTCTAGTATTTACACATAGAATCAGAATGGTTTGGGTGGGAAGGGACCTTTAAAGCTCATCTAGTCCAACCCCACTGCAGTGAGCAGGGACATCTTCAACTAGATCAGGTTGCTCAGAGCCCCATTCAGCCTGACCTTGAATGTTTCCAGGGATGTGGCATTTATCACCTCTCTGGGCAACCTGTGCTGGTGTTTCACCATCCTTACTGTAAATAAATAAATAAATAAATAAATAAATCTTTCTTGTACCTCATCTAAATCTCCCCTCTTTTAGTTTAAAACCATTACCCCTTGTCCTGTTGCTACAGGCCTGGCTAAAAAGTTTGTCCCAAAAATATTTGCCTTTAGTACACATTATTATCTAGAAGTTAAATTTCTTTCTTTAGTTAAGACATGCATAATAAAATACCAAAAATCCGACACAAATTATTGGTCTGTATGTATTCCTCTTAAATGAACTTCAGACAAGTTCATACTGCAGTGAATGCAACAGTCATATATGATGGAACAAGTTACTCATATTCTGGCTTTTCTTTCACATCATGTACATAGTAAATAAACCACAGACATCGAGTCATCGCAGCACAGCCAAGGCAAGACGGTAACAATTCATAACCCATAGGTTTGGCAAACAATTTTTGGTCACAATTTTGAATAGAAGCAGGAAACAGACTTACCCCATCAAGCATGTTTTGTTCTTCTCATACAAGCAGTAGAAGACTACAGCTGTGTTAATGGAAGTATTCATTCTTTTAGTCTCAATTTGGTTTATATAATTGCAAGCACACAGAATTTTAGAAAAAGAGACCTTATTGAAAAGGCATGGACAAGTGGATATTCTTGATTTTTAAGATATTTTTTTCCATTGTATTGATCAAAACAGTAGTGCAGGTGTGGCTTTTTCCCCCATCAAAATATGTATTTCAGAAATTTTTATTAGAAGTTGAAACAACATTGTTTATCAAAGAGTATTCGTTGCTTGGAATAAGTAAACACCATGGTAACTAACAGATCTAAGAGCATCTTAACTTGACCAAGAAAATCTGTATTTTATTAGGATCATCTCTTGCTCCAAGGGAGCATCTGGTTCAATCTCCTGCTCAGTGCAACATTAACAACACTGAATCCAGACCAGGTTGCTCAGGGCTTTGTCTGGATCTTGAAAACCATCAAGAAAAGAGATTTCTGGGATCTCTGGGAGTAATCTGTTCCAGGGCTTGACTATCCTTATAGTGAAAAAAAATCTCCCATTTCAATTTATAACCACTGACTCTCACCCTCCTGCTGTGCAGTGTTAAGTGAGTTTGGCTCCACCTTCTTGGTAACAACTTAGGTACTGGAAGGCAGCTGTGAGGTTCCCTCAAAAGCCTTCTCTTTTCCAAGCTGAACTTGTCCAGCTCCCTCAGCCTCTCTTCATGGAGTACACAATCCAGTGTATTTTGCCATGATTTAACTGTAAAATTAGTCATTTTCTTTTGCTCACCTTCTTTCAGGTGTGAAAGATAATACAGAACCTCTAAACAAAAAAGTATAAATTCAGGATATTTATTTAGTTACTCACTAAAGCAGTCTGGAAGCAGACTGCAGTGAAGCGTAAAATAACGATAGGTTTGTCCTGGTGACATATCTCTACAAAGACAATTAACACTTCAGCCAGGAAATAATGCATTTTGTAGGTTTTTGTAAAAATCTAATTAAAAAAAAAATGTTCTTGAGAAAGACAGGAATAAACCTCTGCATGTTACCTCCTGAAAGAAAGCACACGGAACTCCTCAAAAGGGGGAGGGTCAATTATTTCATTAATACTTTTCAAGAATAACAGTAAAAGCACTAAGATGTTTTGTTTGTTTGGTTGGTTTTTTTATCACAAAGTGATCAATGTCTCCCAGCACACTGTGCCAGTTCCATGTATCTGGTACTCCAACAAAACTGAAATTCATCCAGGGACACATGCTAAAACTGTGGCAGAGTTTCAGAGAGTCACGAGACTGTCATTTGAAATACAAAACATCACCAAGAAATCACATAATTTGTAGAATACAAACAAGTTTCAAGCATAAATAGTTTAAGCAACTCACTTTGACAACTTCAAGGTAAAAAACAGACAAAAGTCCACTTACCTTTTGACTACAGAAAGATTAATTAATTCCAACGTATCCATTTGTTCACAGATGTTTTGAATTTAAACTTATTTTTCCTTCCAAGGCAGAAGTTGTACCATGAGAACCTCAGATACTACTTTTCTCAAACCCAAGCAAAGAAAGTCACAGTTTACATGAACAATACATGACCTGAATCCATGAATTCCCCATTTTCTAGATGTATGTGTGTTACTGCTTACAGAGGAAATAAAGAGAGAGTGACATTTTTATATTTATCTTTGAAAACGTAATTGAAATCTTACAATTTTAAAGCTAATGAGGTTTGTTTGCTTTGTTTTATTAGAAAAAATACTCAGGCAAGGTCTACAATCATCTGTCAATTATAAATGACTTACAAGAAACTCATGAAGCAATAAAATTAAAAAAATACAAATACAAACTATATCTGAAACACTTCTATTTGGCAATTTTATAACAAATTCAAAAAAAAAAAGAAACAAAGATTACGGATTACTTTATAGGTACAGAAAAAGCAGTAGGTGAAGTGCTCAAGCAAAAATAAAAAACCAAAAAACACTGCATTTTTTTCAAAAATAAAGTCACATCACTACAGATTTTATGAATAATACCCTTATTAAACAACCATTCCAGAACATCTTATATTAGTGGTGCTTTTAATCTGCACTTCATTTTGTTTGATAAGATTTTTTTTTTGTGTATATAAGTAACATTTTTAGCCCAATGGAGCTAAGCAAGACTCTCGTGTCAGTACCAATGCAGAATACATTTGTATTATATTAGGATATGCTCACTTCTGCAACCAAAGGGTTACTTTAAGTTTTATTCTATTTAATAAAAATTTAGTGTAAAAACTGCTGGTTATTAGTTTCACTGTAGTAAATTCCTCCACAATAAGGAGGACTAACTCTGCAGTTTGACTGCATATATCCATACAAATTTTACATATTAGTTCCTTCCAACAGTAAGGAAAAAACTAATTTCATGTTCACTATTAGAAAGGAGCGCCATGAATTAATTATGGGTACTATTCATCCCTCTAAGATTTCTGGGAAGGATGTTCAATGTATTTTTGTTCTTACAACAGATATTAACAGTAGTATATAGTCCCTTAGGTATGTAAAAGAAGGTTTTTTTATTGTTAAGGAAGGTGCTTTTTTTAAACAATTCTTCTGGCAGCACTAGTGAATTACAATATCCTTCAATATTATTTCTACCGTAATATATACATTTTAACTTTCATGCCTCTAGAAAAACATCTACAGTACATTTCATAATATAAAAATATATTACAAATCTGCTGAAATATTTACAAGCAATGTCCTATTATCTATATGCAACATTTTTGTCTCCATACAAAGACTAACAGGTTAGACACATCTCTATTTGTCAGTTAAAAAAATCCATGGCTTCTTGCTTATTAAGCAAGAAAATGATTTTACTTTCTTTTTCAAAGCCAACTTTGGTGCATAAAGGATTGAATTTCTAGATTATTTTTTTAAAAAATACCATTTTCTTTACATCTAGAAAACATCAGGCCAAATAAAAAAGTATACTTTACAAGTGAATGGGGATCCTAAAGGGTCAAAAAAGTAAAATAAAACACCAATAACACTAACTGCTTAAGTAGAGGTTTTTCAAAAACCGTCCATTGATACGGATCACATAAAAGCAGATCTCATTAACATACTATACTACTCCTGAAAAAGGGGTCAGACAAACTGCAACACTCTTAACATCTTCAAACCGTACTATATGTATTCATAGTTGACTGGAAAAGACAAGCATTCCATCAACATTTGTTTAAACATTATAATCCAACATATTTTAGGGATCTGCAAAAGGACACGAGATTACAAATGACGAATGATTACTATCCACCATACTCAAAGGGCAACAGTACAATCCCTTGGTACCTGTTCTATTGTCTGGCATGTGTTATATTTAGTTAACACTGACAAGAAGCTTTATAGCTTGTTAACAGTTCTCCTGGGAATTGTGAGTAAATGGTGATGGTTACTTTTTCTTTTCATCAAATATAAACTACTGTATTCACTAAAGAAAAAAGCAGCTTAACGAAGCAAGCATGCAAAGCATTTTAGTTGTTCCACTAAGTTGCCAGAAGAGTGTTCGCTCAGTCTCCCACTGTACCATTCCATGAAAATGTGGATATACAGTAATATATTAATATATTCCACGGAAGCATCAACTTCATTCACAGAATGTTTACACTAAGCATAAATATTTATCTAAGGAAAAAAAAAAAAAAAAAAAAAGATGGGATTTGACTAATGTGCAACTTTATTTCTAAATCCATTGTCAGTGACTAAGACTGCAGGTGTCCCCACTTGCTTGGTTTTTACCTCTTCAACCTCTTCTGGGGCATTGTTCTGTAAAAGAAGATAGTATAGTTTTACACAAAGACCCTGAGATGTAAATTTGAGTCAGCTAAAGTATACTATGAAATCATGATTATATAAAAAAAAAATCTACTTTTATTTAATCTGATTAAAACTGAAAGCCATTTTAGATGATTCCATGGTAGATCAGTTATTTCAAACCTGTTGGAGTCATCATTTTAGCGTGATATTAATAGCTGTCACTGAATTCCCTTAACCACTTTTTTCCCCTTGCAAAGTTTTGATGTTCAACTTTATTTCTTTGACCTCCCGCAGTTGGTCCCCAAGTTGGTTTTTATCACACACTCATCTATACTGCTAAAAATTTAGTACAACATTATGTAAGGGGACTTTAATTTTATTTGGGAGAGTTCATTTTCCTTCAAGGATTTAATCCCAAAGATCACTACATTTTTATTTTAAAAGGTTATTTTTTGCTTTTCAAATCAAAACTAATCTATCAAGTTCTGCAGAGGTAATCAATACAAAAGATGATTAACATCTAAATTAGATTCTAAAACAGTCTCTGTGTTAAGCAGTTTTAAAACACACAATCCAATTTCCTCATAACATTTTTATGATTTACTGCTAACAACAGTAATTCATATACTGAAGTAAGTATTTTAAATACTTACATTTGCAAAGATAGCAGATATAGTATGATGATTTATATTCATATTGCAAATCAAGTTTTCATTAATTTGATTAGTGAAATATACTGAATATTAAAGGTGAACTGAAAGGCTTATCGCGTATCAAGACCTCAGATTAGTGTTCTAGTTACTCCTTTAGACACTAGGTCACTGGATATTAAGGAAGAAACACAGGAACACTGAACTTCTGTTACAGCAGAAATTTTTTTTTTTCTTTTTCAACCCATTTTTATTAATTTGTAATATAAGCTCATAAATATATATAAATTTTTACATTCAAAAACTTAAGAGTGAATTAAGCATTTCAGATTACCTTTAAAAATCGTACACACACAGAACTGTGGGTACTGACAATTATGTGAGCACACTAATAAAGGGGTGGGGGGGGAAATCAGGAAATTATTAGAAACAAGATGGATTAGAAGCCAATCTGAAGTCCTAAAAACACAAATGTGAATGCAGCTTAAAGACAAGTAACATGTACTGTCCCCTTCTGTCCCCCTCTAAAGAATCTTGTATTAAAAAATAACAGTACTTGTATACAAGTACAGATTTCAAGGTAATACTGCATGTATTACAGTTGAATATAAAATATGTAAAGATAAATTTGGACTTTAAAAAAATTGGTATACAAACCAGTATGTGATCTTAACAGAAGTGATCTTTCAGGATTCCACTGTATGTACCTCCTTTACTAGAATTTCTGTACACCAAGCACAAAAAAGTAAAATACACTTGGTAAATACACACATTCCCCGTTTCTCAGTAACTAGAGTTCAGTTCAAGAAGTTAAGTAATTCTGAAATAACTTAAGACCTCAGAACTTAACTCCTGGACGCTGACAGGATCAAAGCTCCCTGGGTCTGGTGTATAATGTATTAGTAATCCTGATTTTCCAACGTCAAAAAGTTAAGTGAGGCTTAAGACTATATTTAAGTAAAGAAAGTTCCAAAATCAGGACGTTACCTGTATATGTTTGGGTCCAGAAGCAAGGCAGTATCTTTTGGTAGTTTTGATAAATGAACTACTTTAGTTTTTAACTGATGTCGCTCACTTTCATTTACCCACACATCAGGCAGACTATGAATAAATAAATAAAATAAAAATATTCAAAAAAGATCAACCGTTTTTCTTACCATAAAATTATGCGGTAAACTAGTACATATGAAGCGTTTTTAAAGTAATCTTCACATTTCACTGGTTAAAAAGCATCTTCACTGGAGTGAGGAAAAGACAGCCAGTCTTTACACATTATACTTCAAAGTTTTTCAAGTTCTCAGTGTGAAAAAGATACTAAACAGAATTTAGATTATTCCAAATGAATACTAAAACAAACATACAATGATAATGGCACTTACATTCTCCATTTTAACAATTTAATGTGAAAATGGGAAGCAGGGGAAAAAAAACAGATCTTTGAAAATACTTTATTTTACTGGGCATAAAATTCTTTGATGTTGTCAAAACAGTAACTAATGGCCAGAATATAATGCAGGCACTGAGCTTCAAGTTACACTAATTTGCTTGCTCCGGGTTCAAAGCTTTCAATGTCAAAATGCTCCAGATTTGCTGAAGTTTATGATTATCTTCTGAGGAAATCCAGGCAATCAACCACAAAATATTTTGGCTATGTAACAGTTCTCATTATGAGATGGTCTTTACACATTAAAAGGGAATTGTTGTTTCAATACCACTTGCAGCAAAACTTGGGGAAGAGGGCTGGAGATAATCTACATTTTGTACTTTAATTCTTTGAAACCTAACATGCATACTTTAGAGTGGCTTATTGCATTAAAGTGTTTTGGTTTTTTGGGGTTTTTTTTAACATGACCTAGGAGCCAAAAAATAATTTAAGGTTGGGGAAAAAACAGTTTGAGTTTGTAATTAAGAATTCCAAAATTTCAAAACAAGTTTCAAACTGAGAAACATTTAAGACTATCTAAATGCAATTGTTCTTTCTTCGACTAAAGCTATACGCAATTTTACAGACTTTTGCAAATTATTAAGCTGAATCTCTATTATTCAGCAATGAAAGTTAGCTGTAACTCATTTTATTGGGTAAGTCATCCAAAAAGATGAAATGAAACAGAGAACTACTATCCCAGTAGGAAAATGAGTTTCTCCAATGATACCTTCCCCTTTTCAGATGAAGGTGGAAGAAAAGAGGGGAAAAAAAGCAGGGGGAAGAAGGGGAACCACCCAGGAGGCAATCCATTAAGGTTTAATATAGATCATGAAAGTTGAAAAAAATACCTTGAGACTTTTTTTTAAATAAAGTCAAAATCAGGTTGGGGTTTTTTTTTGTTGTTGGTTTTTTTGTTTGTTTGTTTTGGGTTTTTTTTTACAAGCAACATTTGGAAGACATTTTTAGTAGAAGTTAGATGCTGACGATGCAAAACAATACAGACAGCAAATAAGAAGACTTTTCATGTGCAACGACTATTTGAAATATATATAAAGACAACAACTCAGTAAGTTAAGCAGTATTGGCACAAAGGATAAATTCCTGCTTTAAAAAAAAAAACTTGTAAAGTTATTTCCTTCTTGTATAGGAAATGGGTTAAAGACCAGCATTTACTTTTCCTGAAAAAATACTTAATGTACAGAGAACCTAGAGCAGTTTAACAGTTTCTCAAGATGACTCAGAGTAGAAAGGTTAAATCATTACTAGCTCCATCTGAAAGGCTGATTAACAGCTCAGCACAACTGCATTCACCTCTTCTGAAGTGTGAGTACATTCACTGTGTAAGACAGATGGATGACATGAGCCATGTACCTTGCATTTGATGTTCTTAACTGTAATAATCAAGATGAAATTGAATCTACTGAATACTCAATAATTCAAAACTACATCATTCAGTGCAGGAAATATACCCTCTACCTAACCCAACCAAGATGCAAGAAGTATCAACAGAAAACACATTATTTCTTTGGCCTGACCAACCAAATCTACATTCTATTTGGGATGTCTTAATATTACTGAATAACTTGTCTTCCCCAGTGCAGAGATTCTAATACTGTATTCGTCTGCATGAGCAAAAAACTCATTCAACTCTGTATTAGAAAAAAAAAAAAAAAAAGCACTTTGATTTTTTTTTTTATTTACTCTTCATGTTCCCAGAGTGTTATATGCTTTTTTGATCTTAAAATGCAATTAACTGTCTTTACATGTAATATTTAATAAGAGTAATTTCAGAATGGTGTTATATATAGTACTACCAGCTGTCCTAAAAGGAATAAAAAACCCTACACTTTCTACTACGATATTTTAGTTATTCTAGCCTAAGTTGAATTGAAATTTGCAGCCTAGAAGTGCCACAATGAACAGCACATGCTACAGACATGAAAGTTGCACAAAAATGCCTTCTTACCTTCAAAAGGTAAGAACTTTGCTGCAGGTAACTTATCAGCAACTCTAGTTCTCTGCAAATAAATGTATAATAAATTCATACTCCCAAGTTCACACTACTGTACATGACTAATTTGGGACACTACAAAACTGAGTAATTTAAACCACTTCACCAAAGCAAAGGTAAATTCCTGTTATGCTAAGGCTTTGCATCACCATCCCACTCAATCACTTAAAAGCAGCACTGAATCTAAAAGACCTCTTTGTTCTAAAAGCTAATTGCATGAACTATGATGATTTCATCTGAAATTTAGATATACTTACCTAATGAATTCTACCAATTTAGAGATATTTTCCTGGTAAAACTGAAGTTCCTTTTAAGAAAGAACCTCTAAACCTGCAAGTCCTACCTAATTATGCAGTTATTCATCTTAGTGTGAACTAAATGTCTCAGTAACTTCCATTATAATGTGAACTAAACATCCCAGTAACTTCATCCATTATGCAGGACCATGGATCCAGGAATTGGTATGTAGGAGTATGGATCCAAGAAATAAATCCTATTATAATTATTCTTACCTTCAAAAGGGAAAGTAGTTAATCGCCTTGAAACTTGTAAGAAAACATGGAGCATACAGCTACTGCCTCTTCTAAAACTACTCTGCCTACTGCTCTCCTACAGCATAGTAGAAACCAAACAGTTACTCTACTTTTCCATATAATTAAGATTAAAATAATTGCATATAAATTATTTTCTGTGTCAGAAGAAAGAGATGAGATCTCAGCTATTTCAAAGAAGCAGATAGATTACTTCTAAAGTACATTTACTACTTCTAAGTCCCAAGCCCAACAGAGGGCAGTACCTTTGTCCTGCATTACACACAAGGCTACTCATTTGGAACAAGACAGAACTTTGAAAAAACAAGAGATAAAAAGCAGCCAAACATGCTGGAACAGTATTCCAAGCATCAGTGGGAGAATCCAAAGAAGCAGGAATATGAGATGGTTACCTTAAAGGGCCAACTGTGGTTATTAAGCTGTTAAATTGTGGCACCTAGGCAGAGATTCTTGTAGTTCTACTGTGACACCGATGATTGTGTATTTTTCGGGTATTAAAAGTATTTTATATATTATTATAAAAGTATTTTAGGATCATGATGAATCAGTGGGTAAAACAAAACTTTCTCCACAATAAATTTCCTATGTACATGGCTGGCAAAACCAACCTGAACTCCATTCAATAATTAGAGGACCTTGCTACTAATACCCATAGTGACAAAATTCATCAAAAATTTTTCAAATTCATTGAATTTGAAGCTTCAAATTTACCTGAACCACATCAGATTCTAAAGACTTGAAAGCTAAAGTCAATTAAAGCATTGCTTATTTTTTAAAAACCTTCTAAGTTACTTCTCAAAAAAACATTTTTAAAACATTAACTTTAATTGAAATATTCAAAGACATAATTTAGTGACAGACAGTTCATTTACCCCACTATAAATCCTTCCCAATTTAAATCCTTTATCATATCACTAGCAATACTCACATGTCCTCTGGTGTCCAATGAAGCAAGAGTTTTATTTTCCCAGAATCTTCTTTTCTTTTAGCTATTACCTGATAATAATTACATAAATCATAATTAAAACAAAAATCTGCAGATTTTTTGCTCAAAAACTGTTGTTCTTCATGTTCAACTGGACTTTCATAAAAGGCAAGTTGTTTTACTCTTTGAAAGCTGTATTAAGTCTATATACAGGTAGAATGTACTCATCACTACTCAAGCCATTCTTGGCTAGGTTTAATATTTTCTTTTAACATTTGTCTACTGAATGGTCCCTGAAAACAAACCCAAAAAAAATACATCCTGTAAGTCGTCGTCTTTCTTTTAAAAGAGTTCGAATTTTTAAGCAGCTATTCCAGAAGCTTTGAAGAACATACATTCCTTTACACATATGCTCATGTTGTTCCACAAAATGTCTATAGAAGACATGAGAAACTGATGCAGTTTATATATAGCTCAACTATAGGATGGCATAAGAATAAAATCTTCTCTCACAAATGCTTTGACGCACTGTATGTATAACTTCCTAGGTAACCTTTACTCGTTCCTTTTCAACACCTTAATCAGTACTGAACAAGACAACGACAAAGGCTACTTGGAAGAAGCTCACAGAGATTGTTTAATGCATACATAACAGGGCTCCTTAAATCTGTAGGGAATACACTTGCTACTATTGTTATATGAATGATAAATCAAATGACATGTCAAAGACCTGTCAACCATTAATAGATTTTATGGAGAACATATGAACTCCACTGGTAAGGTCCCAGACAAGAAGAGAGCTCATTTCTCATACCAGTTCACAATAGACCAGCACTTAAGATACTCTCACAGAGAAAAAAAGCTAGGTTCTGGACCCTGAAACTAGACTCCTGCCTTTAGCCAAGATAAAGTTAGAAATACACAGAAAGCATAAAAAAAGAAATCTATTTTTTGTACATTTATGTACAAATATATTCCTTAACACTGGCATTCAAAAGGTATCCCAAAAATGTACAGTATCAAGGAAAACAGGGAAAAAGCAGTTTGCTTCCTCTTCTACCAATTTATCCTCAGCTTTTCCTTTACTACACGTCAAAAGAGTTTATACAGATTTTCCTATTTGCTTCAAACACCAGTTCTCCCACCTTCTGCACCTCTGAGCATAAACTGCTTATTAAATCTTTGAAAGATTCCATACAAAGCCACTGCAGATACTGTAAGCTCCAAAAAGTTTACTAGAGAAACTTTAAAGAACAGAAATACAGTAGAGTTGTAAGTGATCTTTATGAAAAAAGGATAAACTAAAATGTAACATACAGAATTTAAATATTGAAGTTCATAATCTGCATCAATCAAAGCAATTTCTGACAACTGAGTATCACGGTAAATGAAACTTAGCCATGACAAATTTGTTTAAACTTTTGTTTTTACAACTATGCAGTGATCCTCTAAACAAAAAAGATGCAGAGAAAAATGTCCATGGATTTAAGAGCCAGGTTATTAATACAGATATATTTGAGATATCTAAAGGTATCTATATGCTTGTAGGTGAGAACTGGAATACTGGGTTTGTGTGGCCAGGTTTTGGTAGCAGGGGTGCTACAGGGGTGGCTTCTGTGAGAAGCTGCTAGAAGCTTCCCCTCTGTCCAACAGAGCCAATGACAGCTGGCTCCAAAATGGACCTGCCACTGGCCAAGGCCAAGACCATCAGCAATGGTGGCAGCGCCTCCAGAATAACATATTCAAGAAGGGGAAAAATTGCTGTGCAACACCAGCCAGAAGAGAGGAGTGAGAACATGTGACAGCAACAACTCTGCAGAACCAAGGTCAGGGAAGAAAACTTTTCAGAGCTGAAAAGCTTAGAGGGGACATTTTAAAATGTTAGCATTTGGTCACAGTAAAGTAGTAACATCCAAGTCAGAAGAAAGTTAATCACCACAAACAGCTTTTCATTCTATCTAAAACTTGAGGAATATGAAGTGGGGTATCATACAAAATACAGAAGTCACAGATGAATATTATATCTAAAGACCAGTTAAAGCTGGAGTTGCTGTACTTCTATCACATGATCCATAGCACTGCTTCTTTACGGCATAATACATGGTGATTCCAGAACCTCATAGATCTCCCTGAGAACCACCCAGCAGCTAGAACAAGTCCAGAGAAGGGCCACCAGGATGATCCGAGGGCTGGAGCACCTCCCCTATGAAGACAGGCTGAAAGAGTGGGGCTGTTCAGCCTGGAGAAGAGAAGGCTCAGGGCAGATCTTATAGCACCTTCCAATACCTGAAGGGGGCCTACAAGAAAGCTGGGGAAGGACTTTTCATAAGGGCAGTTAATGACAAAACAAGGGGAAATGGGTTTAAGCTGAAAGAGGGGAGGTTTAGATTAGATATTAAGAAGAAGTTCTTCACTGTGAGGGTGGTCAGACACTGGAACAAGTTGCCCAAGGAAGCTGTGGATGCCCCCTCCCTGGAATTGTTTAAGGCCAGGCTGGATGAGGCTTTGAGCAACCTGGTCTAGTGGAAGGTGTCCCTGCTGATGGGAAGGGGGTTGGAACTAGATGATCTTTAAGGTCCCTTCCAACCCAAACCATTCTATGATTCTATGATCTCCATTCTCCAACAAGAAAAAAAAAATGTACAGGCAAACTCTGACATTAACAATTTCTTGTTTTCAGGAATACTCAGTACAAAATTTAAGACTCTGCTGTCTTACCATCGCTACACTGAAAACAGAGATATCTGTAAAACCTCAAAAGATGAAACACTGATGTGCAAAAGAGTCGGGGTATAAAATTTAGGGCAATTCAAGTACTGCCTGAATTATACCACTGCAAGCAGCATTCTATTATTCCAGAGCCCTAGTAACATCTTCATCCAATTGGTGCTAAACTAAGGGACTGAACCAGCTTACACACACACACACACACACACACACACACAAAAGGAAATTTAATAGGAGGATAAAGTAACTTTTAGCAGTAGGAAATAATAAAAAATAATAACAAAAGAGCTAATCACATCTAATACATGAAAGCTATAGGTAGGATGCTTCTGCACAGAGAGATATACTCGTATACTTCCCCCTCTACTCTGCCCTGGTGAGGCCACATCTGGAATACTGTGTCCAGTTCTGGGCCCCACAGTTCAAGAAGGACAGGGAACTGCTTGAGAGAGTCCAGCACAGAGCCACCAAGATGATTAAGGGAGTGGAGCATCTCCCTTCTGAGGAAAGGCTGAGGGAGCTGGGGCTCTTTAGCTTGGAGGAGACTGAGGGGTGACCTCATTAATGTTTACGAATGGGTTAAGGGCGAATGGCAGGAAGATGGAGCCAGGCTCTTCTCAGTGATGCCCAATGATAGGACAAGGGGCAATGGGTGTGAGCTGGAACACAGGAGGTTCTGCTTAAACTTGAGAAAAAACTTCTTTAGGGTGAGGATGATGGAGCACTGGGACAGGCTGCCCAGGGAGCTTGTGGAGTCTCCTTCTCTGGAGACATTCAAGACCTGCCTGGACACCTTCCTGTGTGATCTCATTTAGGTTCCTGCTCTGGCAGGGGGATTGGACTGGATGATCTTTTGAGGTCCCTCCCAATCCCCAACATTCTGTGATTCTGTGATTCTGTATCCAGTGTGAATTTTGCAGACTTTTTCCCTGTATCGTTGGCTTAGCTTGTCCTTACTAAATAATCAATACTCAAAACCTGAGCAATTCACTTGTTTTTGACTGGAATGAAAGAGCCTCTCTCCACAGAGGGAACAAGCCTATTTTTGTTTACTATTAAAGTAGTATGTTAGCTTTCTGTTTGGAGACAACAGAAATCTGGCATCTGTACCTGTCATTGCTTTTTTCCCCCCACATATATTGTGTAATTGTCAAATTTAAAGTAGTTTTTATAAAAGGTGTAAGAAGTATCCACTTTTATCACAATTAGTGCAATGAAAATCCTAGGCAGGCTAGAGCCAGAAACACAACTATGATGCAGACAAATGCAAAATTGCAAAAATCTTGCAAAAAAGTAACTGAAAAAAATTATTTCTATTTTGACACTAGTAATCAGAGCTTTATGGTCAAGTCTACAAAAGTTACAACTGACACAGAAGAAATCTAGCATGTCTGCAATAATGAAGCTCTGAAGACTTAAAAATCGTTCTGTAAAGAACTTAAGTCTATTTAAGTTTTTAATTTAAAAATATAATTCAGCCAGTAGATGCATGTTCACAGCTTTATCTGAAAAATCTCTTACTATATTCTCTAAGTTTTTAGCACTGTCCCAGAAACAAAAGGGAAATTTTATTTGAATTTATCTCTTTGAAAGAAACATGCATCAAAGTTCTCTCAAATCAGAAATGGAGTTCTGCTGACCTCTTCTGGAAAAAGGAAAAAAATTCACCCTATAAATTGTTATGCATCTTCTTTTTATTCACTTACTGTACTTCAAAGTTTTAAGATTTTCACATGAAACTAGTATCAATACGTGTAACTGCTGAACTAAAACATCTCAAAAAGTGAAAAAAGTGAAGAACACTTTAGTATTCAAATATTTTAGAGAATTAATTCTATCCATTTCAAAAAGCTAGGAGGCGAGTGGGCAGAGGACAGGGTAACCTACAAGCTGCATTTTTTTAATCTTTTAATCTGCTCTTTATGTTAAAAGAAAATGCTTTTTCCATCTGACAAGTCAGAGAATCAAAGTAGCAACAATTTTACTCCAATAAAATAACTAAGCAGAAAGAAAAATTCATAATGAAGTCAAAGGTGAATTCTGAATGGCAAAAACATTTCTTCAAAAAGGTTTTATTGATGACTGCATTCTACAGCTTTCCATTTCTATAAATGGAAAGGATGGGAATAAAAAAACCCCAAAAATATATATAGTAAAAAAATAAAAGTTCCTTTTGATAGGAGATGAAAGGTATCTACACTGCTTAGAAATTCTTCACACTCGTAATTCTTCACTAGGATACCCATCTTGTAAAATACTGCATTGTGCTGACATTCTTAAGCTGCATAAAAAAAAATTAAAGCTACATTATTTATGTCAGTTTTCAGATAGCAAGACAATTTTATTGTCATATTTTTCACCTTTCAAATGAATGCCCCTGACAGTTACACATTTTCTTCTTCATCGGAAAGTGGACCATACAAACCATATTATGCTATTTAGCCATTATGCTATTTGTCCTTGCTTGTAAGTCATGCAAAATAACTTACATCTGAGGTGACCATAAGCTCAGTATAAGAGTGTACATCCACAAGATTGCTTCTATTCTACCTTTTCTTCTTAAAGCAGATTTTAGGCTGAGTCTTACCAATACAGCTGATGTCCAGCACAAGCCCACAGAACTGTAGCAGCATGCTAAAATAGGGTAGCAAAGTGCAGCATAGGGGTGGAACCTTACAACAGTTCTCCCACTGGTGCCACCTCTCCCACAACTGAGGTCTAACCAATTTCAGGTCTAATCACCCCCCTACCATCTTGAGTGACACATGCACAGAGAAGCTAAAAGGATTTTCACCACTTCCTCCAAGTTAGTTTGAAGCAGTTTTAGAACACATTCCTCCCTCTAATTCCATCTCCTTATGAATTATTCCAATAGCCAGAGGTGAGCTTCCACACCAGAGTGTTCTGTCTGGATAACCCTTCCGATTAGAGCAAGCTATGAATTGGAAGAGAATCTGCTTTTCTTACAGCATTGTAAAATCCATGTTAGCCAGGAAAACTCAAATGAGATTTAAACACAGTAACAGTTAAGCCACCTGCAAACCTCCACTTGCAGCTGGTGCTCGTTGCACATAAAGTTCAGGAGAAATCATTTGGGAACAATTTCTAATACAGGCCACAAATATTTATGACAATCATCAGTCTTGTCAAACAGGAAGAAATAAGTTTCATGCACATAAAATCATCTTTTATTTATGGAAAGTGACTGGCACTTCAATAGTTTCAATCATGTATTGAGGTTAAGCCATAGCTGAAGACGCAGCACCCAGCATTCCTTCCCTACTTCATCTTGCACCTAGTCTGGCAATTTACAAAGCACCTTCACCTCATTTTGTTCCAAATCTTAATTCTTTTCCTCAGCTAAGTCTCTACTTTTTATGTGCACATATCTTCCAATTTGGTTAAGAAAACATGAGTTTATATAGCTTTCTGAACTTCTGATCCCTATACCCCAATTCACTACTTTTTCTCCCCATTTTAAACTTTTCTAAATTAATACTGGTCTATCCTACCCAAAATACAATTGAGATTAACAAAATAGGATATGAAAATAGGACTGAAGGCCAGCTCCCCACTTGGTACTTGCCTCCTTCTAGCAATTCACTGACATTTTGCTGGTAATTTTATTAAAGGAAGAAGAAAAGAGGAGACAACAATAGATTTATTAGGGATTATATCTTTTAAACTGAAAAAAGGAATAAACGAATTTCAAATCAGCATCTTTAAATATTCAATTACACAGTTACCCTCAAAATATTCCTTTGGATAAATTAGCACTGTCACTCACTATTATGGAAATGCCACCTGAATTGCATTCTTATTTAGAAGATACAATCAAATTTTTCTGTAACACATACTTGCTGCTAAGTATTTCCCCAAGCGTATTAGACAGGAAATGTTGCAAGCTATTCAATTCATGAGCTAGAACAACTACTAACATTACTTTTTAAAAAGTAAAAAAAAAAAAATTAATAGAAATGGACAAATCAACAATGTTGATTGTTGATATTACAATCACTATTGTGATGTGTATTACAATCACTATAAGCAATACTCACTATTGCTTATTTCTGATTAAATGCCTACAGCCAGAAGAGGAAAACAGAAATCTGTTTATTAGTATTAGATTTTTCAAACACATAGGTAAACAAACAGAATGCATACTTACAGTACTATGAAATACAACACTGTGGCCTTTTCCTAAACTTTCTATATGTGCTGAGAGGTTAAAGCAGATGGCTCGATGTCTTATAGCATCCAGTGTTTGCGCATCAAAGAAGTCATGAGGTCTTGCTAGAAAAAAAAGGAAGAGAGATCCTCAGTGTTCAACACATAGAAAGCATTCAAACAATTCAGGCATGTGAATAAGTCTGAAGTGTCATTAGTAAATCATTTATCATTATTGCAGTAGCACTACTTTGTCGAAGAGTTGTAAATATTAATTTAACTGAGAGGAAGAAATGACTCCAAGAGAGGCACGATTCATTTGTTTGGTCAAAACATTGTCAAAATAACTCTTTCATCGACAAGGACTAACTGAATTATAGTTGCTTTTTTTTTTAAAAAAAAAAAAAGGTTTTTTTTTTTAAAAAAAGGTTTCAACTGAATTCTATTCCTTCTTAATCTTCAAAATTAAGAATTCATTAATTTTGCTGAGTACCTCTGGGAACATCCATTGCTATCATGTTTAAAAAAAAAAAAAAAAAAAGTCCCAGTACAAAGAAACTAAACCCAGAACTAATTAATAAATGCGAGTTCTAATTTAATGCAAAAATAGCCCAGTTAGGTTGTGATGTTTATGAGAACTTAACTGATCAAGTCACTCTTACAGCACAGTCAATCGTTCCAATATTACTGCTATGACTTTTTAAAAAATAGTATTGAAGTACTTCAAAACATGACAGTGCATACAATCAAGATCTTCAAGGCAGAATTCTATCTGTATCTTATTTCTTAACTTTATTAAAAACAACCTGCTCTGATCTAATTTATAATCGCTAAAAAACCCAGCTATTTCCAGCAAATACAGGGATGCTGCAAAGACACCAACAATGGCACTGAAAACAAAACTTCTTGGTACTACAACAGAATATAAAGCAAAGGATTAAGTAAGGATTCTTGTGAATATACAGAAAAATACTGGATCATCAAGAAATTTTGATCTCTAAGGAGTAATAATGCTGAACAGTCACATGAAAAACTCCATGCTGCTAGACATACATCTTTATGTACAAGGAGTCATTCCATTTTCTTTCATTATTAGTAAACAGATTATTTTCCAGCCAAGAAGCACCAACTGCATCACATACAACACTTCCACTTATAATGAGTAAAGTGCAATTAACATCCATTTGATATTTTACAAGTAGTCTAAAACCAGCAGGCACTAATAAAGCCCTTTTCCTTTTAGAAAAAGACTGTTAGAGTTAAGTGTTTCTTAAGCAGTAAACAAATTACCAAATTCTGATTTAGAGTGTAAAGAAGGTCTATCAATTCTACACTAAAAGTACTTTAACTAAAAAAACCTGCTACTAGGCACATATTTACATACTGTTATAAATACTTCACATAAATTTTTAAATATATACCATATAATACAGTAGTAAAATTATATGAGCAAATACAGTATGAATGAAAGCACTCAGATTTTTTAAGCCTTATTTGAGAGCAGTAATTCTCTATATAATATACTGAAATTAAAACTAAGAATAGGAGTTGATATTACATTATCACCTATGTATCACGCTGTAATCTGCAAAAACAGGGATTCGAAGTTCTGCTGTCTTCATTTAAAACAACTTCTATATTCCAAGATTATCTATCCATTATTTCAAAACAAATTCCACTTAAAGCTAGTATTTGCTACACTCCTGGGACTAATTGTTGTTAAGCATTCATCTGTACATTATGTTCTGTCCTTACTCCATCTCAGTTGGATACTGCCAATTAAGCAATCATCTCACTGAGATGTTTTCTCGCTGTAAGTAGTAACACAGAACTGCAGCTCATGCTGCAGATGGTCAGTGATGCAAGTATATAAATATTTTACAAATAAATATAAGGGAGGAAGGAAGGGAAAGTGGAAAGGAAAATACAACCCCAAGTTTTTGCTTTTGGTTTCAAACAGCAAATTTCTTCTGTATTTACCATGGATATCGTTCAATGGATGTAAAAAAAAAAAAGGTCACTTTGTCAAAGGCATATGAATAGTTTTATTTATTCCTTATTGAGTGTTAATGCTGTATCTCTCAGGTATTTTAAATCAACTCCCTCAAAATTATTTGCAGACTAAGGTATCTCCCTTCCTGCTTAATACAAGTTCCAAGTACACATAAATTCTTTAAGGTCAAATAAATTAAAACCTTCGTACTAGTAGCCTACTAAAGGAAATTCCAAGTCTTACGTAACTAACAATCTTATTTTAAATTCCATGAACAGTAAATTTCATGGCGAACCAGAAGAGAAAGCAAGCTGCTGACTGCAATCCTGAATTATTCTGCAACATCAAAATTTATATTACAAATCAGACAGTCTCTATAGCACCACTAATGTAAGCAGCTAGAAGGGTGCCTATAACTAAAACATGCTTTCATCATAGAATTAGTAATGTCCAAACTTGAACAAATACTGTTTACTGTAAATGAAAAAAGAAGTGTCAAACAGTTGAAGAATGGCAAGATGTTACGAAACAAAGAAAAAAAAAATCAATTAACAGTAAGAATTCTCTTTAAGTTAGGTCATGTTTTCACCACATATAAAGCCACAATAAAGTCTCCTTTTTTATTTGTGCATTAATGTCTCTCAGAAGGTTGTTAACCTTCAGATATAAAAGGCAGAGGAAGCAAATTTACTGATTTGCTGTATTTAAACTATTTAGAATTTATACACAACGGTGCTTCAACAGCAGCATGTATTAGCAATCCATTGCCAATAAATATTTAGTAAGCCACTTACACCTTGCAAAAAAAGCCAGGGTCTAATCAAACCATGAGGAGGTAGAAAGAACACGTTGACATTTTTTCAGGAGGAAAATTTTGCATCAAATGATTATTCATGAGTGATTTAAACAGATTGCACATTATCAAATAGCATCTCGCTTTACACTGATTTGTCATAACTTCCTGTAACCCAACTTGGAGAGGGCCTGGTACATATGTTCAACTTCTCTCCTTTTGGACACTTAAGATATCTAAATATAAACCTATGTCCCTAGCTTAATATAACACTAGACTGAAAATACTCAGTGCTGCTATTTTGTTACTTCAGCTTCTTAGATAAGGGTCCTTGCCCTCCTCTATTCTTCTTGCAAAGGCAAAAGATACAAGCTTGCACAGTTCATTCTTTAACTAAAACTAAGCTAAGAAACAGAAAGACAAGCAAAATTGTATCAGCCCTTTCTCAAGTTCACCTAATTAACAGTAAACTACACAAACTTTTAAGGAAAAGCTACCAATACTTAATCAGCATTTGCAGAAAATGCCATCAGCTTTGGATATATTTCTGGGTCATATACCCTCTGGAGAAATATATTACAGTAGTTAGTTCCCAACTCAGAGATTATTTTTGCCTTAAGGCAAAACTCCACAGCCAGCATCGCATTTTTCTCGAGAGGCAAGACCAAGAAGATAAAAAATTACTCAAGCAGCTGGCATTTTTTCTTCCTGTGCAACCCTTAATCAAAACAGCCAACTATTCAAGTACTACAGTCTGGTCTTTGACATTCCCACAAAATTTATGACTTATATTTTTTGCCATAGACTCGTTCAAGAATTCTGCAGTAAAATCTTATTACAACTAGAACATCTTAGTAGATAATTCAATGTTTTAACTATGAAGTTCTGATTTGAAACTTGTAAGCCAATAATGTTCAATTACTAATGAAATGCCAAACCAAAAAAACACTTCTGCATATACTGAGAGGAAAACCTGAATTAAGACACATTAAATCAGCCACATAACAAAATCAATATGGAGAAGCTAAGATGCAACTCGGGAATCTCTGACAGTGACAATTTTGAAGTGACCAGTCTTAGACATCTATATTTTGTCTGAGTAACACAGTCAAAGCAGCAAGACGATCCTTTAGGAATCTGCAGCTATTGCAATTAAGTCTCTCTTTCATTACATCCAAGATGAACTAAAAGGATAGTGCAAAATGACCACACAACCCTTCATTGATCAGCCTTCCCTTCTTGAACCTTCTCATTTACATAGATTGCTGGAGTAAAAGGGAAAGCTCTTTGAAAATCAAATTCTGAAAAGAACAGAAATAGCTTTCTACCTTCTTTGAATGTTGAATCAGCATCAAAATTGGAGGAATTCTTGAAGTTTACACTTTTAAGATGTGTTTAATGATAATTTACTCACACGTATTTTAAGAATACTCAAACATTTCAAAAAAGAAAAGGGCAAAAGGGAAAAAAAAAATAAAAATCACAATAACCAAAGTTAACAGTGGCCCTTCTAGCACTGAACTGCACAGCTATCATGCAGTGTGGAAGAAAGAGGCAGGAAATAAACTTTTCAGAATTCTAGGTGATACTGCAACTTTCTAGGACAGGCTTCTTTGCATTCAAGGCAGAAACACGACCACTGCTTCATAAATTTCAGTTCCTTAAAACACAGGCGAGGTATTAAGATAAGAATAACCACAATTGTGATACAGAGTAATCATCTAAGACCACTAGTAAGTGCATCCATTGTTGCAGTACTATTTGAATAATTGGTAACTGTGTTTCTTCACAGGAACGGAAAGATCAATCCAGCAAAGTGTTCTGCCACAAAAGAACTCTGGAAAAATAAGACTAATTGCTGACCCCAGCGACCTAACACAAGTTCTCCAGCACATCATCGCTAAAATCCTACATCCAGCCAGGAGTAAGGACTGAAATAACTGCCTCCTTATGAACAGACTTCCATTTCTGTGGACAATATGTGATATAACAGGTCCAGTGGTTCATAAAAAAAAGGTATTTTGTGCTTCTCTCCAATATTGTAAGGCTGATTTTACACCACAGATAAAAATTAACAGAAGTTGTTTTTTCAGCTGTTGACGTCCAATCAGGACAAAAATCTAAATGGGTTTTAACGTGTCTACTCTAAAATGCAACTGTCACAGGAACAGTTTGAAATTAGTAAATAATCAGCTCAGTACTGGAGAGTTGCATCCAAACCAATTCTAAAACAAAGTTAATTTTTTTAAACAATTGCTTAGTCTTTCCTAACCATTTCTGAACATTAGAATCTCCAAATAAACGTGACATGGTTATTAGTCTAATACTAGGACAACTCAGGAATCAAACAACTGTTTCACTGGACTGTGAAACGTACTGGGTAAGTGATTATTACTTGCTAGAGGAAACAATTCTCACTTAATAAATCACACTTCTCAGCACATTGGTTCATAAAAAAGTAACGAACATCAACTGTGTGGAGAAAGATTAAAAAAACATAGCAAGTCAAATCTGCCCAAAATTAGATCTTGGTTATGCTCATAAAACTGTCATTAAGCTAATGAAATGTTGTGCTCAAAATAGGGCTTATATAATACGCATTTATCTCTAATTTATATGAATCTGCAACCTCTGTCTGCAGTACTGAACTTCAGATCTCGTAATTACTAAATAGAACACTTTCCAACAGTAACACAGTTAGTAAACTAAAAGCAACTAAAATGAAAAGCATCTTAAAACTGTAAATTCAAACTGTTGCTCAGAGGAAACCGATTTTTTCTAATTAACACATCGATGCTTTACCCTAAAAAGGGACACAAACAGAATCTAGAATTGTTTTCCTCCTGTCACAAGGGATGCCAACACTATAACACTAAACATCACCAACTCTACCAGACCCACATCTGCAGAGAAACAAGCACACTGAGGAGGAACTTCCTATCCAAGAACTTCTACTTCTGGCAATACTTACGTAATGATCGTCGTCTCTTGTTCTTTAGCTTTCTTCTTTTATTCATTCCAGCTTTAGATGGTGATTCCTCTTTGGCCTTTGGCTGGCTGGCAACTTTTGAAGAGTTCTGCTGGCTGAAGTGCGTGGGCACGTGACGGGCAAGTCCTCCCTGAGATGCAAAGCTGGCATTGCACCCACCAACTACACACTAATGAAAAAAAACCAAACAGAACAACTTTATCAGCATGGTATGAGGTGCTCATTCACAGGAGTTTGACAGATCTTTCAGTTTGACTTTTCTGCTTTTCTGGCTCAACCTCCAACACACTAAAAGGAAGACAAATGATCATGCAATTCTTGAAAAGAAAAACAGAAACATAATCTGAAATAAATTGCTATCTGAACTTTATAACTCTCAATAATTATTCCAATAGTACAATATTATTTTGTGTTACATTATATTCTATAATATTGTATAACAAAACCAATCTCAAACAATGCACTGACAAACTCTTCCCACGGAAAATAAATGCTTCTGCAGAACTTTCCCCTTTACAGACCAACATCCTTTTGCCTTTCAAAATACTGCACTGTTATCCTCTATTTCTCAACAGCTCTCCAATATTCTGCATTTGGTAACAGTAACATTCTCTAACATCCTTTTTTCTTGTGACAAGGCAGAAACAAAAAAACGCATCCTTACCCACATTAAATTTGAAAGAGCTTAATGCTATCTGTAAATGCTGTACAAAGCCAACAAACCGTTATCTTGCAGCTCTGTCTAAAACTTTAACTTCAGTAACTCAAAAGCTGTATTAATAATTATTAACACATCTATTTTGGGATGATACTATTAGTTCAGAAGCATTTAATAAAGGTCTTATTTGAAGAAAATGGCCTCTCTTTCTCAAACAGAAAAATAACAAAAGATCCAACAATAATTAAGCAGAAACACAGAAATCACAAGATATGTGCAACTAAGCTAGTACCGGCTACAATAATTATTGGTATTTTGATAAGTGCTTAGTTTACATTTACAATTATTTCACTTGCAAAATGAGTATTTAAATTATACTGTTGGGGAGAGAGGCACAAGCCTTTTCGCTTGTGCTCTGAGCTTACAAGGATAATAGAAAAGTGATTTTAAGATATGCATTCCATCATGGGCTGCAATGAATTGAGTATTCACATAATTGAATAAACAATTCATTGCAGCCCATTGCAATCTTCTTCTGATCCAGAGAATAGTAGTAGGGCAAATGAGTTTATCAGCCAGTAGCAAAAAGCCCATCACCACTCTGAACCACTGGCAAGTTCTCCTTCTTCCACATCTGTTCTGCTCCTCACCCTCTTTCTCAGCTCTTTCATCTGCACCTCTCTTCTCTAGCACTTCCCTTGACAGCAAACTGATGAGGCAGCTCCAACAGGAGTTTGGGAAAAAGTAATGCTGCAACTATGTACACAGTGCTGTTTTCTCTGAAGACGAAGAATGAATTTGCAAGCTCTGACAGTAATCCTCCCCAAGCCTGCACATTTGATTGAAAAACAAGAAAACAGCAGAACACCACTCGCGTGTTTTGTTCCTAAAACTCATGTTGCTTTCCAACTGTGGCTGCAGAATTGAAAAGTCTATTTCTGCCACACATCTAGCAAATGGTTTTCCATGATCATCATAATACAGTGTCCATGAAGAGAAAAACCTCTGTTATCCCCAAGGACTTATATAATTGCCATAGGACTAAAAAGATGTATATATATTTCAAGACAGTAAAAGACAAAAAAATAGGAGGACATTTTTCACATTTTTATTTGCCTTTTTTTTTTTTTTTTTTTTTTTAAGGGGAAAAAACCCTTAAAGGCAGTTAGGGAAAGTTTTCTAAGGTTCTGAGGTAACTACAAATATATAACCCCTTAACAAAAAGCTTTAGGATCCTTCACCATGTATTTGTTCTTCCCTGTCTCCCCCTCTAATAAGTATTTTAAGAACGGTGAAGATTCTTATCAAAAGCCTACCTACAACTTTTTACCTTGCCCTATAATTTCCCAATCAAACAGCACCAATATTGTACACTTAGATTGTAGTGACTCACAATGTAAGAAATCCCAGCACACCTATGAAACTCAAAACACTCAAGAACCTGATCCTATTTACACAGCAGGAACATCAATGCAACATTTATTACTTTAAGTTAACACTGAAGATTAAAATTTACACTGAACTTATAGAATCATAGAATGGTTTAGGTTGGAAGGGACTTTTAAAAATAATCCAGTTCCGACCCCCTTACTGTGCACAAGGACAGGTACTAGATTAGATTGCTCAAAATCCCATCCAATCTGACCTTGAACCAGACCCACTTAGTTGTATTAAAGATGATCAAACTCACAATCAACAGGTACAGGTAAAATACAAGTGTACTTAGTTCAAACAAGTTTTTATTCTCCAGTTTTTAAGTTCTTGAAGTAGCTGCCTTGCCCATAAAAACGGTTTCATGAAACTAAACTAAGCAACTAAATCTAAACTTAGTTTTAACTTTCATTAAGGTGCTCCTGACGTCAGCTTCTAGCTCCTTCTGATCCTATAAACACTGACAGAAAAAAAATGAGTGCGAAAAAAGCCCCTATCCCGAAGTTCAATCACACCGAGAAATTAAAATTTCATTCTTGGCAATGCCTGCTCGAGGTCAAAAATAGCCTTAAGTCTTGGTACAGTGCATGCGTTACCATATCCCAAGTTTACTATAATCAAAAAGCAAAACCTTCTGAAAATAAGACAAACTTTGTGTCAGGCACATTTCCAAAACTTTAAGACATGTTCATATGAGTTAACTGTATTTCTTGTCAGATGGGAAACACTGTTTTATGACAAACTGCAGTTTGACTCAGTGTCATAACTTTTGTCTAGTCATGTATAAAAACCATCACAGATATTCTACACATATTATCCACAGAAGCTACCACTTACTTTTCTTGCTCTACCCAAGTTTAACTTTCAAAAAACCCCAAACCTTCAATATATGCAACTTGTAACTAGAGATTATCTTTTTCCAGAAAGCCTATTTATAATCTGTAGCCACAGTACGAAATATTTGCAGAAATCATTACATTCAGATATTGTGTAGTTTGAGACTACCTGATCATGTCATCAAATAATCAACAGCTGATGTATCAAAGATGACACAGAATGCTTTTGTAGTAGACAGGAAATAGTAGAAGAGGAGGAAAAAAAAATCTTACCTTTTTCTTTTTTTTTTTTTTTTTCTCTAAAATAATATATCCAGCAATCCGTTACTAATGGGTAAAGTCTCTTCTCTCCAAAGATAAAGGAGCAGTTCAGGCTGTCACTTCAGGATCTCTGGACGGTAAGTCACATCAAATCAGCTTCCCACCAGATAATTATACAGATCTAGAGGGCTTCTAACAAATCAAACTCAACTATTATGCACAACTTTAAACCAATCTCTTCATTTTTCCCCCCAAAACCTAAATCTCAATTTTGCATTCAATTTTAAACATGATAGATTGGGTCCGGATTGGTGGATATGTTACTTCAAGAGAAAATAAGTCAACACGTAAGAAGTTTAATTTCTCCAGTGTACCCATACCCACCATTATTAATGGGCAGTAATGACCAATTACTTTAACCAACAGGATATAAAAATATCTAGCAATACAGGGTTTTTTCTAAATTCAAAATAACCAAATCTGCTTTTTAGAATATTCAATGTGTAATTTTTCCAATGAATCTAACAGTAATTTTAGACATCTGGATAAACATCCTTATTGTTTCAAAATCTAAGTGTTCAGGCAGAATGCCTTTACATTTTCTATTTGCATCTGCAATGCTCTAATGGATAGAAGATATTCTGCCAAGAGAGTAACAGACATGAATTCTGAATGAGGACTGAAGCTGCTTGGCTGTGTTTTCTAGATTTCAACAAGTGTTACTCTACTGAGAGTCATACCAAATGCAGTCACTCCTTAATGAATTCTGGAAGTTACATGTGGTAGAATGAGCACCAAATTTCATTTTTATTATGACTTTCTTCCACCCCCCCCTTTTTAAAAAAGGATGAAAGCCTCCAATGAATCTGTGCACTGTCATTCATTGTTATTGAAAGCACTTACCCCACACATGAGCAAACCTTACATGGTTGATCTTAAACATTAAGAGAGTACCCACTGGAATCAGTATGTGAAAACAGTTGGTAGCAGACCCACATGCAGTCTTATATCTCCAGAAGATCGCTATATGTAATTATACTGCATAAAATCTCCCAGTTTTGTGCTCACTCTACCATTTGCCCTTTCATGGTGTTGAACATCTTGTACTTGGTCACCTAGACTACATTTTAAGAGTCCATTTGATACGGCTTCAAGTAACTTTCTATGCCTTGTACAGCAATAAGTCTTGTAATAATTAAATACTTATTATTTGAAACAGCCAAGTTTAGGACAAGTAAGATAGATTCAGATTCTCTTCATCCACTTTTTCTCAGCTTGCCAGTTACCAGCAACAGTTTTCTAACTCAGCAGATTATTCTTCTAGATGCACCTGTCTATATGTTCTGAAAGCCTTAAAGTTTTTTAGTTGCTGAACCCTCCAACAGGACCACCACTACATGTTGATGATACCCCACAACATTCTACCAGTTTCTAAAAAGCTGCAAAAATTATGTAATAACAGAACTAAAAAAGAATAATGTTTAGGTTTTTCTCCCTCAACTCTGAATGTTAAAACATACACAAACATGAACATACTAAATGTCTCCAGAGAAACAACTACATGCTCTGAGAATTCCTATATTAAATAAATGTCTACAATGACACCCCCCCCCACAAAAAAAAAAACAGGATGGCTAGAACAAGACTGCAATAAGCAAAGAGAAAACTTCCAGTAGGACAAGAGCTATGAACTTCAGGTATTCAGAGGAGCAGCATAACTTCAAAAATACCCAACAGTGGGACAAAGAAGGTTGGCAAGTTCTCAACCAGAAACATGTTCTATTAGACTGGTTTGTTTGTCTGTTCCTCTTGACAAGCAAAACAAATCTAGGAAACAGTGCTTACCAAAAGTAGGATTGGAAAAGCACGCTGCTTTGCAGAAATCGTATTTGATTACAGACTGAGAACCAGCTGCAATAGTAACTACATCTCATTTAATCAACACTTTTCTTTGGTGGAGGATTAGTGGGTGTCCTAGGAAAAGGCACTTTATCCGTAGCAAAACTTAGTGATGGTGGCCTCAGAAAAACAAACAAAAAAAACCACCATCCGTGTGTTCCACATGAAACCCAAGGCTATCAGTATTAAAAACTTGGAAATAAAGGGAGAGAATAAACAGAAAAGCAGTATGAGGTTGAGATCTAGGGTATGAAATGTCTCCTTCTTATAAGCTGAACATATACTACAATGAAATTGTCCCATATATAAATGGAGCCACCATAACAAAGCCTCAAAAATAGGTATTCATGGGGAAATTTACCTTTTCTGTGACACAGGTATTGCAGTATTAATTTTGAGGGGGACACACTAAACCGTACAAAGAGAAAAAACAGGAAAAACTTAGGAAAATATGAAACATTTTGTCTTTGTAATTTAGAAGTAGGTTCATTTCGGTAACAACTGAACGACACAGTCAAATAGTTTATATGAATGCATGGAAAGGGCAAGTAAACCCACAAAAAAATCTTTTACTGTGAAAGAACAGTAGCTCATTTACAGCTGGATACAGCTTTTATTCAAAGGACAACACCATGTGTACTACAGAAACAGGTAATTAAACAAAAAATGGGCAACTACATAAAATGAGTCCACTTGCAAGCAAAAGGGTGATGGGACAGGCACATATCCTTCTACATAGTAGTTCTAATGTAAAGCAGAGCTTTATGTCAGAGACAAGCATATGCCCCAACTGCCCTGCAATTAAAGATACTTAAATGCTTTTGTCTCTTATTTTGACTAGAAATATAGCAACCTGCCATATATTTATTACTCTCCTCTTGTCATGATGCAATTATAGTGTTCTTTCATCTTTAGAAACAGAAATTTTCTGTGCTTTTAAATGTCACTTTCCTAGGTAACATTCTTTGCTTTTCTTAAAAACATCCTGAACAGCAGTTCTTCAGACAACAGCATACAGTTACACTATTTCCATTACTGCCTTTTACAACTTTCCTCAAAAATCCTGACATTCATTCATTTATTTTTTAAATAAAACACTGAATGACCAGGTATTTTCAGCAAGTTCTATAAAAATGTCAGATTCCTTCCTTTTATGCTAGAACTCAAGTATATTCTCATGAGGCAACATAAATTTCATTTGTAATTTAGGTTTTGGGAGATATTTTGTCTGCAGTAATAAAGAAGAACAAGAGTTTTTTTCTAAAAGGTGAGTAATTAAGATTTATAAGAACAGCTAAATGCACCAAACTGAAACATTTGCTGCTTTTGAGTAATTGCTGTAAAACAATTAGCCATGGCTGTTCTTGGATCAATCAAGACTAACATCCAACACTTTCTTAAATGTTTTCCTGTCAGACAGTAGATCTGAAAAGCTTGCAAAAGAAAAGAAGCAAGTGAGAAAAGGGGGCTAGCTAATTAATAGATTGCTATCACAGACACTTAAATACTTGGCTACCTCATGTGAGCCCTGAAGCCTATATTCAGCATAAATGACAGAGGAACAAAAAAAATGTTACAAAATTCTACTCAGAACACAATTATCCTTCACTCAAAGCCCCCAGGAACAGATTGAGAAATACAGAGATAAAAAACAAACAGAGGGACTGAAGACAACAGTAGGAAAAAATGCTGAAGTGACACACATTGAGCCATGATGATTAACGACTGCAATCCTAGCCTGTGTTTTGTTCTTTCCCTTCGTATGACCAGAAAGTACAGAAAATCAGCTGGTGAAACAACACATATTTAACACAAGATGATTATTATCAGAACTAACTGTTTTAAATTTTAGAGCTCTAGCTGTAACCAGCCTAGCCAAAAAACTGAGATACCAACTTTTACTGGCTTTACTAGGTAACTCTGACAGACTCAAAAGTACTACTGGTATTTCTGAGCTATGCCACCTCTTTTAAACCCAATGTCTCTAAAATTGAGTTTCTTTGACTTGCCAAACAAGTACACAATCTACCCTACTTAAAAAACTTTCCTTCGAGACCAAAATTTGCCATTATACTTTAAGGCATATAAAATATTTAATTCCAAAATGAGAAGACCTAAGGTACAAGTTTCCTCTGATGACTGGGTTTTTGCCTTGGTTTTTTCTGTCTGTTTGGTTGGTTGGTTTGGAGTTTTTTAGTTTGGTTTTGTGTTTTGTTTTGTTTTTTTAATTCCGGGATTAGCACTTAAGCTTAGATCAGTTATTGGAACAATCGTATCCACAAACTTTCAAGGATTATGATCCTTATGCTATCCTTCCAAAAGCATGCTAACCTTATTCCTTTGAACAAAGGGTATGATAATCTCAAGAGCAAGTTTCCTGTTGTTATTCGCTCTCTCAGTCAGAAATTTTCAGACTAAACTACACAGTTCAGTAAGGAAAAAAAGTCTCACCTTTACTGAAAAAGTTTTTCACGTGCAATGCACTATTTTTACTCTCCAGGTTTTGAGTTTAGTTTTGTTTTCTGTCATAACTACTGTTATAAGCTATGCAGAAGAAGTAACTTCTGGAAGACATCATTGTAACAGAAAAGTATTTTTTAGTAATAAAGCTGCCTTAAAATAAGGGGGGAAAAAAAAAAAAAGAAAAAAAAAGGCAGAAGATATTACCTGAGAAGAAAGAGAGAGGAGAGGGACGTGGAGAAACAGCAACTAAAACTTGGTGGGGTTGGAGGGTGGGGGAGAGGTAGGCATAAAATGTTACCTAAACTTAAAAAAAAAAATAAAAAATAAAAAATAAAAAAAAAATCCCTAATTAATTTTCATATCCTACATGGAAGGAGAACTTCAGTCTGAAGTAGTGTGGGTGGGACTTACCATCAAGTGATCCAGGACTGACAGCTATGAACTGCCCCAACTGTATCCATAAGAGGATGAAGCAGCTCATTAATAACGGATTGGTGGATATGGGAATGATAAACACTACTATACCTAGAATTGCAGGTACAGATTAGGGGGAGAAAGAAAGAGAAAGTTAGAAAATACTATGCAGGAAATACAGTCAGCTCAACGGTCCTGCATTCCCAACTTCCTTATTATTCTCAGAGAGGTTAACCATAGTCACTGACAGTGTTTCAATTGAATTCCATTTACAAAACCAGCCCTTATTCGAGCACAGATTGTGCACCATCAGGCAAGATCCAAAGTTTAACACAGAAGTGTGTAGCATGAGACAAAATATCTCACTGTTACAGTGTAAGCAGCTGGAAAAAGCACAAAAAAATTGAACTTCAGCACTACTTAGTTTTACACTGCCCTACCATTCATAGGTTAAAAGAAACAGGGATAGAGAAGCAATAATGGTATATTCACCTGTTTTCATAAAAGAACAGGACATTTGGGCACTATTATTGCAAAGATGAAGGCTCAGCTCGCTGGATACTTTTTAAGAAATCCTCCTGTGATGGCATTTTTCAATTATATATTGTATCAGGAAAAATAAATAAGGTCAATCTTAAAATAAGGGATGATGCATCTTACAATGAACCTTACCTTGAAAGGTTTGTCCCCACTGTGTGTCAGCATATGCCTCTGCAACCAACTTTGACTTGTTGAAGGTGTATTATATACTTTGCAACCTTTCCACAAGCAAACAAACACCTAATAGAGTAAAAATGTGGTAAGTTTACACAAGTCAAAGAAAACAAACAAAAACCAAAAAACAACAACATATTAGCAAGAAGCCTGTTTTCACAATACGAAGTACTTCAAAGAATTTTGAACAGTAACAATTTATTTTGCAAAACATTTCTCATCTCTCAAAGAGGTAAAAATAATTACAACCACAAGTTTTCAAAAAAGCCAGGTCACTGGAATAAAACATCAAAAACCAGATGCTCCTGTAGCCAAACTCTTTACAGTGGATGCTGCGGCTCTCAACTGTGTTTGTGTTTACACTCAATATCTGTATCCACCAGATACAGAGACAGAACATTTTTAAATGACAAATTTACATTTTCTGGGTAGCAGATATAAAATTATTTACTCTCATAAGCAATTAAAAATTTTATTCTTTGAGCATGAAAAAGTAAAAAATTCTTAACTGCAATACTGTTGTTTAGATACCAGTTTTATATTACAGAATACTGGATACCTCTAGTTAGGGCCTCATACTCAATTCCTGACAAAGAAAGTTAAAATCTCTCATAGGATTCAAAAATCTATGGGTGTTTTGTGATTCCAGAGTACAGATCAGTCACATGCACAATAGTGCATTAAGGGGAGGAGAACTTATTCATGTGGCTTTTCTCTCTCCTCTCATTGTGTCCATCTATAACCCAGAGAATAAAAAAGCTCAATGAACTTGCCTTTCACTAGAATTTCCTCAACAGGTCTGTGTGTGAAGGGAGATATGGCCCTAATTTGTAGCAGCAAAATACAGTCCCCAAGAATAGCATTTTCCATAACACAGGTTTTCAGAACTGCAGGAAACTAATTGGATTCGAGTTTCTTGCTCTATTTTGGAGATTAAAAAACTCAATCTTCAGAAGATTGTATTTTCAAAACAAAACAGCAGCCACAGGAGTGCTATGTACTTGCTGTATAATATATAGATAACTCTGTTTACTAATACAAAGCTGGAAAACCCTGCATGTCTGTACAAGTGATCCAGACCTACTGACATGTACATAAGACCCAACCTCCTAGAACTGTGGTGTCTGCTGCTCCTCAGTTTTGAGACCCCCTCTAAAGAGAGCCACAGAACTGGAATTTCTGAGATTCCAAGCTCTGCAAAGCTCCCTAACTGTCCCAATATTTCCATCAGCAATTGCAGGGCACTCAGCAAAGGAGTATTATTATGAAGTTGTAGATTGTGGAAATGCAATCCCTCCAAAAATCAAGCACCAGAAGTCCAGGTAAGGCTTCTGGGGAACCCTGGTCAAAAGGCTAAATCCAAAATATTTCCGGAAAAAAAACTGGGGAAGTAAAACTATTTTGTCAAAGACTTTCCTGGGCTCTTCATGGATCTATCTAGTTTGGTTTGGAGCCACTGTCTCAGTATTAGGTGAAAATACGCATTTTCCCATGCAAGGATGCTTATCACATCACTTTTCAGTTCTCAATAAGCAGTTACTACCCCTAATTCTTTAAGTTTATAGTCATTTTAGTTAAGTAATATCTGAAATCCAGTCAAAACCACAAAAATATAATTACTAACACCACTTAAAACACCTCACCAGCAGGTGGCAGACAAATCCTTGAAACAAAACAGCCAGGATCAGTCCCCCTTCCACAGAATCGAGTTGAAGAACTTTTAAAAAAATAAACCAGCTCCACTAGGGGTATAGAAAGTGTGAACTGGATGCAACAGTTATTAGACATTTGGTGCTTCCAACAACCTCCTCTTTCAGAAAGACAAATAGTCTAACATTTTCTAAATAAAAATATCCACAAGGCACTTCTCATGGAATGTATGTGAACAGAAATATAATACAAAAAGAAAAAACAACCTGAAAAATCTTCCATTTTTAAGAAATGAAAAGGGGTCATGGATGGGATAACAAAGATGCCCAGAGATGCAGTTATGTGAAAGCCCACAAGATACTGATACACTTCATGCATTTAATTGCTTCATCCAGGACTTGTATAACACTTGTATAAACCTATGAACAGAACTACAGCAATCATGTCATAGGTGGCTAAAAACCCAGCTCACTGGATGGATGATTCTGCTTCCAATGTGGACTGAAAAAAGTCACCAAGTATGAAGCTGAAAGTTCAATCATATCAAAAAACATTAATTAAATACAAACAAAGTCACGGCTGTTTCAGTGACACAATTACATAATAAATTATTTTAAAGGATTAGACTGAAACATATGTGATTATACAGGTACCTCAATTAAAAAAAAAATACCAGATGCAATTACATTGAAGGTATACTTGCCATCAGTATTACAGACAGAGCTGTTCTGGTAAGACTTTGTACTCTCAAGTCAGTGAGTTTGACATTTTCCCTATTGCACATTCTGTGTAAGTTTTACCTCTAGTGAGACTATTCACAAAAATAATCAAGGTATGACTTCACTGGAGTTCATATGCAGTTAAGATGTTCAGTAACAGTTTTTAAAAAATTAATTCCACTTAAACATACCAGTAGCTTCAGGATGTTGAGAAGCTAGCACATGCATCGAAAACTTGATAGCCTCTAATAATTTATTAAAAAGAACTCACTACATTCTACAAGTATAGGCATTCAATTAAAAACACAGAATACCAAACCAAGTGAACTATGCAAAAGCTGACAGCTGAATGCCTAATACTGATGAAGGCCCAATATTAGTTGCTACTAGCTATGGAACTGATACTTTAAAATATAAAATTTGCTACTGTCGTTAAAAGAGTAAAATATTGGCAACTAAGAAATAGGGGAAAAACAAAAACTAACACCAACCCCTCCTCGTTGACCATCCACATGTATGGAGCGAATGTGATCTGCCAAGTCTGGGCTGGAGCTGAAGCAAGCATGGCAGTGGTCCCAACAACAGTTATAAGCAATGCTTTTTGCAGAGGAGGCAGGAACTCCTTGTCCATTCATCATTACTGGAGTTGAACGCCCACTGGAAATTGTGCTGTCTATGTCCATAATAGTACTGCTTATGCTGCAAGATAAAAAACAAAAAAGAGAAAGTTTGTATTTGTTGCATGTTAACAGAAGAAATACAAATCATAGCCCTTTGGGATTTTGCTTCAGATATATTTAGACAGGTTGAAAAGAATTTTACACAAACTTACATGGAGAGGCTTAGAGATTGGGTTTCTTTCGTTTTAGGATAAGAAAGGAAAGGTTATTGCCGTTTCCAGTGACCTGACAGGGAGGTTTAGCAAAGGAGAAGCCAGAGTCATCTCAACCCTACAGCTGCCAAGGATGAGAGGCAACAGACAGAAGTTGCAACACTGGAAATTCTGATGAGATGTTGGGAAATTTTCTCCCTCCCCCACAACGAGAATAATTAGACATTGGGAAAATTGTTCAGAAAGGTAGTAGAAACTCCAGCCTTTGAAGACACCCATGAAGAACTCAACTGGACAAAACCACAAGCAATCTGATCTCACAATCTTCAATTAGCAAATAAAAAGAAAAGGTAGCCAACAGAAGCCTATAAATACAGTTTTGAATCTGTTCCATATTGCTGCTTTTCCCAAAAAGCTTCTTCACCAAAAACTTCAACAAAAGAAAAAGAAAAAATAAAGGCAACTAGCACTGAGCTAAAGCCACTAGTCCCAACAGCGTTAAGAGCCGCTAACGACAGCTACTGGTAACAGCACTTTAGGATCCCTCTAGAAAACTGTCAGAAGCTTTAAGTGCAGAGTATGTTGCAAGCAATGCCAGTTTTTCCAGCACACCAGGCCCACAATAGATGCAATTAGGGGACTGACATCCCTTCCTTCCTCAGCTGATGTTTAAGCCAAAAACTATTCCCAGAAGTAAAATCTGTAAAACTGTGTTATGAAAGCAAAGTTTACCAATAGGCTGAAAAGAAAATTGAATAAATAATTAAATGTGACCCCACACACACCTAAGTTTGAGTTATCTAAATACAGTTTTTCCAAAATCAGTACTTAAAAGGTTTGAATACATACAAGATGGCACATAACCTGACCGCTTCTGTCACACACAGTAAGGTTACACAGATCAGCAGTTCCAACAGGAAGTTGCTTAACGGAGGATGGCAAAGCACTGCAGATACAGCACTCCTGCAACAGCAGCCTCAGACCATTTCATGTGGAGAAGTAACTAACTTTCTCACAGTTGAAAGATAACAAAATACAGTACTTCATAAATACTTTAAGTAGGAGCTCAAACTTCCAAGCTATTTACAGTCAGTCAGAGTTTCTACATCCACTGACAGCATTAGTACCATTCCCAAAAACCCCACAAACAGGCACAATCCAATTTCTGACTAAGAGGAGATATGATGCTGGTGACCACAAGAACAGACTATGAAGGGGTATTTAGCACAGTTCTCTCAAGGGTTCCCTGATTTCACAGCCTGGTCTTAAGCAGGAAATAAATGAGAAAACATCCTAGAATGAGTTCTGTGAAAGAAATGGAGGGGGGGAGGCAGGCGGGGTGGAGTACACACTCATGCACCATGGATTCTCCCGTTCACAGGCATAAAATCTGGTTAATTTCTCTAAGCAGAGATGAAAAAACCTCAAAATGATGAACCTGTAGCATGAGAGTTTATTTCATATTCCAAATACAATGCAACATACCTTGACCACCTTAAGACAAAAACCACAGGTCTCTTAATTTTACAGCCTAAGGAATGCAAATAATTAGGCTCGTGTTTGTGTGCCCCATGCTATCCTATCTGGAGAAAATTACTCTTGTTATTGGAGAAAAATACGCAAAAGTCAACTAGTAATACTGATCCAGCAAAAGATATTCTGATAAGTAGGGTTATTAATGACATGAGAAACCAATAAAACTTAGAAAGCTGCTTTGGTTATAATAGTTTAAGTGTTTGCTTGGTTTGGTTCTAATAGCCTAAGTGTTTGCTAAGGGCTAACAGATTAGAGCTGCATACATGATAGCAAAATTTAGTATCAGAGGAACTGAAATAAAAAAAGGTTGCCCACAGCACTTAAACTAAACTGTAGCATATAGAATTACTTGGAAATTGAGGATTAAGTGCTATATTGGACTATGATTCTATAACCTATTCAAGACAGTCTAAAAATAGAAAAAAATAAATGTAATTCAAATTTGTTTGAGTGATAACAGATCAGTATTTTATTTAAGAGGGAATACCTTCCTTTCATTAAGTAAGACATTAAAGAGTACAGACAGACAAATACTGCTGTATAACAGAACCTACCAGAGAAACAGCTAAACTGCTTATAAAACAAAATCACTGGGAGCCACACAACAAGAGATCACTGTTTTCTGATGGTTCTCTTGACAGGCACCACCAAAATGCAAGAAACTCGCTGTCCTGGCACACTCTTTATCTAGAAATAACCCAGTAAGTAAAAATGTAAAATGAAGGGGTTTTTGTTTTCTCTTCTGTGCCTCCAGAACTAACACATTTCAGGTGATCAGGTGCCTCACTGTACTGAGAGCCTAGAATTAGTTTCTTTCTCATTTAGCGACTTCTGGGTCACCCAGCAAAGAGGTAAAGGCTGAAAAGAGAATCTGTGAAAGAGCAGCAACATCTTTCCTCTCTGTCACAGTGCCCTGTACAGCTCAGGCATGTGTACTTTTTCTCCAGTCTTACATACACTGAGAAAATACCAGGAAGCTTTTTGGAGAAAAGTTTGTAGCATACATAGCATCAGAGAAGACACTGACCTGGGAGGTCTCTTGCCCTTGCCCATTTTAAGATGAAGCAGAAAGTTGATGGTAAGTTTTATAGTCGGAGCTATGGCTGCTGCTAAGTCTGCAAAGATTTAACTGCAACACTCTTTTCATTAGACCTATCGATTCACTCACTTTTTTTTGTTTCTTGGGATTTCACAAAGGGTGTAAGGGCACAGAATCACAGAATCACACAGAATGTTGGGGCTTGGAAGGGACCTCAAAAGATCATCCAGTCCAATCCCCCTGCCAGAGCAGGAACCTAAACAAAATTACACAGGAAGGTGTCCAGTCCAGGCAGGCCTTGAATGTCTCCAGAGAAGGAGACTCCACAACCTCCCTGGGCAGCCTGTCCCAGTGCTCTGTCACCCTCACCGTAAAGTAGTTTTTTCTCAAGTTTAAGAGGAGCCTCCTGTGTTCCAGCTTACACCCATTGCTCCTTGTCCTACCATTGGGCATCACTGAGAAGAGCCTGGCTCCATCCTCCTGACATTCACCCTTAGCCTATTCGTAAACATTAATTAGGTCTCCCCTCAGTCTCCTCTTCTCCAAGCTAAAGAGACCCAGCTCCCTCAGCCTTTCCTCAGAAGGGAGATGCTCCACTCCCTTCATCATCTTGGTGGCTCTGTGCTGGACTCTCTCCAGCAGTTCCCTGTCCTTCTTGAACTGTGGGGCCCAGAACTGCACACAATATTCCAGATGCGGCCTCACCAGGGCAGAGTAGAGGGGGGACCTACAAGTGGGGGGTAAGGTGTCTGCACACAGTCCACCATCTTATCTAGTCCACTTGAGTCTTTTCCTGACCAAAATAGTGGAAGTGCATCAACTCAGACCATGGAGGACTAGAGTATTGACATAGCGTCTGTATATCTTTCAATCTATGAAAGAGAATTTTCAATCCAATCTGACCTTCTATCTGCTTGGGATCATCCAAGAGAGGGAAGAGTTCTTTAACAAAGAGAAGGTAGTAATGGAAATTACATCCTCCTGCTTTCTCATCTGAAATCCACAAAGCCTGTAAGTCAGAAAGTAATAATGTGTATCAAAGAGGAGGGAACAGAACAAAGGAAGGAACCTTAAACAGACATTCTGGCAAACTACTGGTAACAAAACAAAGACACTGAAACAAATTTTTAGCTAAATAAGTTAAAGAAAGTTTTTCTGCTTTTTTCTAAGCCCTTTTTCCCTAGCTGGGAGACGTGTTTAAATCCTGACTGCCACTATCAAAGCAGAATGACACAAGTAGAACTTAAGTGCTTGTGGCATTCCCCTATTGCTAGTGACAGACAGGTCTGGGTTTGCTCCCAAGCTGTAAGCAGGCTCCAGCTCCATTGTAACGGATCTATAGACCATAGCCTGATGAAGAACATTAGACATTTGAGTTTCAGAGAGTTCAACTCAGGGGTCATCCCAAACAATAGAGCATCAAAAACAGTCACTGCTGGAGAGAGCCTGCATACACAATAGCTGTTTTTAAGAAGCACCATTCAAAAGACTGACTAATTACTAAAATTTAAAACTGTTACAGCAAGCACAACATAGTCTTCAAGTTTATGTTATTCCTACTTTCATCCTAATCCCAGCACCAGAATCAACTTGAAGTAAAAATCACAGCTCTAGAGGCAAAACTGAATGCCTTTCTAAAATACTTTACTAAACCCACACCTCATTTTACCAAGTCTACAAACACTGGCAAACATTGCCTTCCAAACACAGCCATGTAAAACTGAAAATACAGAATATTCTCAGAAGAGTCAGACCTTTTTCCCCTCCTCCTACAACTTTTCCCTTTACCAAGAGATCAACAGCTTTGAAATGATCCTGACATTTAAAGTGTGTTCATTAAGCAACAACATTAACACAAGCTTAAACAGAGGAATCATTAGCTCAAGGGCATTGTTTCAGGTCTTATTTTTACCTGTACTTGCTTTACCTGTAGCTAGAAATAACATATTCATACTCAAGATGATTGAGAGTTTTTTAGCATCACTCTCATGCTAAAAAGATTAGTACCTGCACAATCTACATGTGCATGTGAACCAAACACATTTAGCTGGTCAAATCCAATCCAAACTGTATTTAAAAACAATCCTGAAACTGAAACAAAAAATAATAGTTAATAACTTATAAGAAATCGCAAGTCATTTTCACTTTAGAACAAAAAGAGTTCTTCAAGCATTTTACGTCATGGATTATTCTTTTCCTTTAAGGATCTGAGAAAAATTAAACCATTGTTGGAGTCATGTAAATATGAATATTTTCTATGGGGGGGGTGGGGGGGATCTCAAAATTATT